TTATAACCTGCAGCTGTGTGTTTATTTTGTGTCCTCCCAGACAGTGAGAAATCCATGGACTGGGACATGTTTCAGTCTTGTCAGTGCTGTAACCCTTTAGCCTCAGAGAACTCCTGCAGTCTAGTAGGTACTCAGTAAATGTTTGCTGAATGAATAAATGAGTGAATATGTGAATGAGAAGGTCAGAGATGAGAAAATAGTGCTTTGCCTGTGGCTTTTTTTTTTTTTTTTTTTTTGGACAGGCAGAGTTAGACACACACACACACACACACACACACAGAGACTTATAGACAGAGAGAGAGAAAGAAAGAGAGAGGTCTTCCTTTTTCCATTGGTTCACCACCCAAGTGGCTGTTAACACCAGCGCGAGGCACTGATCTGAAGCCAGGAGCCAGGTGCTTCCTCCTGGTCTCCCATGCGGGTGCAGGGCCCAAGCACTTGGGCCCTCCTCCACTGCACTCTTGGGCCACAGCAGAGAGCTGGACTGGAAGAGGAGCAACCGGGACAGAATCCGGCACCCCAACCGGGACTAGAACCCGGGGTGCCGGTGCCGCAGGTGAATGATTAGCCTAATGAGCCATGGCGCCAGCCTCCCTGTGTTTCTAAGACATGGTTATTCCATGTTATGTGAACACATGGTGTCTAGTATACCTCGGCAAACCCTCATTTGGGTACTATCGTGAAACTGAGGACAGTTGAAATATGTGTTCTGGTTTGGTTACTGTTATCTTGCTAAGAAAATGTTTTTAGATCCTGAAGATATCTTGTTCTATAATTTTCCATACGACTTTTTATGTATCTGAACACTGAAGAAAGAAACCACCCCTTTCACCCACATCTGTTTTAATTACCTCCCTGATTGTGTGGAGCAGTGGTGTTAGTGGGGTGGGTGCTCAAATGAAAGCACTGTCAGGGTCTGTTTCACGGTAAATGGAGCCAGGATTGCTTGGCTCAACCTGATGGACTTCAAAATACTTCTCCACTGTCCACACAGGTCTGCCTCCCAGACTGGCAGATTCTATCACTCTGCTAGAACGAATGCTCCTCACAGTGACCGCTCATGATGGAAAGCATGAGGTGCTGCTCAGATGAAATTTATTTATCATTACAGATTTTTTTTGAAATATAGATAAATTCTATGTCCAAACTAATGTTAGAAAAATAAATAATTGGCTGTTAATTTAGGAGTTGATGGTGACTCAGACATTGAAGATTATGCATTACTCCAAGCCTTCATGCTTCCTGCATTGAATAGATTTTTATGGTAACGTTCATATATGGCATAATTAGAGATTTTTATGTTACCTATTATTAGACATATAACAATTTTTAGAAACCATGGAAATCAATTTTATTTTATTGGTTTTTCCACATGTTTCCCTCATTCAAAAATAAACTATTCTATCAACAGTTTCCTGTCATAGTTTAGTTAAAAAGTGGGCATTTAAAAATTGATACTGCTTCTTTGAAACAGTAAATTCTGGTCAGAAAATTCTAAACGACAAATTTGGAGGATAGTGATACTGTCTGTATTTAAGATTATGATGAGAAAAATTTGTTTTTGCTGAAGTGATTAGATTACTGCCACTCAGTTTGGAGGCCTAAAGTGAGTTCCTGTTCCCAGTTTCGCATAGCCTGGTCTCAGCTTTGCAGCCATTTGTGGAGTGCCTGCATTCTACATCCAGCTCTACTTGTGATTTTAGTTTTCTGCTAATGCAGACCCTGGGAGGAAGCAGGGATGGCTCAAATGATTGGGTTCCTGCCACCCATGTGGGAGACCTGGATTAATTCTGCATCTCCAGGATTTCTGGGTAGTGAACCAGCAGATGGGAGCTCCCATTCGTCCCTCTCTGCCATGCAAATAGATAAATAAATAGTTACCAAAAAGAAGAAATGAAAAGAATCATTTCCTTTTGATATGATCTGAATGACTAAAATATTTTTACATGTGTATTAGCTGTAACATACTAATAGTGCTCTGTAGGCCACATTTGCATCATCCCAGTGGATCCCAGTTTGTGTGTGTGGGAGGGGCCTGGGAGTCAAGGTGTATGTGGGTCTGGTAGGAATTAGAGGAACTCCTCTTAAGAGGTGAGCACACAACAGACATTAAAAATGCATTTACAATAACTTGAAACATAATCATATTATTCAATTCAAAATAGAGAAGAAGAACTCTTTGGGAACAGATGTATAAACAAAATTAAATTAAAGGAGTAGCAACAAATGAGATTATAATCCTACTGATAAGTTGCATATCTCTCCCTGAATAACATAATTAGATAAAGGTAGATACAGACCTTAACGAGGTTATCCTTTCAAATGGAAAAGCAAGGACAGACTTCTATAAAAAGTTTAACTTCCAATTACAAAAATAAGAGTCATGGTCAATTTTAAATGATCATTGCCACCTTTAAAATAATTTAGTTTTAGTGACCAAAATGTAAATCAAGTTTTTGAAATACAAATATTAGAGACAGGTAAGTGAATGGAATTTTAAAAGTATCCTATTTGCCTAAAATAATTCTCTGTTATAATTTTTAAAGTTTATCTTCAATTTTTAGTGTCTCTTGATAAGTGGCAAAAGTGGAAAAATGCATATTTTATATGAATTGTTCAAAAGGTTTAGAGAGGTCATAGTCAGTGAGCACCAAACAGTTTTGATGAAGCAGAGTGTGCAGTGGAGCTGGGAAACTCATGGATTGTTCTGGGCCCCTGGAATCATTTGCATGTTCTTTAAATATGTACTTTCTCCCCAGCTAGATTTTTGAAGCTCCTTTTAATGCAATTCAGTGTTAAGTAAAAATTATAATGAAAAAGATAAGATGGTATAAGAAAACATAGCAAATATATTTTAACAGTAACAAACAGCAAAAATGTATAGGTGTACAGACAGAAGACTGCAAATCATCATAAAAATAGATTTTAGTATGTGAAGAGACTGAGCATTGCTCTGTTTTGGATATAGTAAGTGTAATAATAGCATGAATTGTCTACAGCCTACCCAGGTGTCCCTTTATCAACAGGGGCCAAACTTACAAGACCCTTGGTAGATGCCTGAAACCACGAATAGTACTAAACTCTAAATATACTACATTTTTCCCTAAATGTACATCCTTATGATGAAATTTGATTTATGGATTACAGAAAGTAAGAGACTAACTACAATAGTAATAAAACAGAACAATTATAACAATATACTGCAATAAATGTTAATGTGAATGTAGTCTATCAATCAATCATGTATCTACCCAATACCTGCTATCTATCTATCTATCTATCTATCTATCTAATTCCAATATACTGACTGCAGTTGACTGAGTAATTGAACTCATGGGAAACAAAACCTTAGATAGGAAGGAATATTGTAATTCATCAGTTTAATAAAATTAATCAGATCCAAAGACAAAACATTGTAAGTTCAAAGGAATCATTCTAAAATTGTCATTGATATTACTTTTAAAGATATCAAAAAATGAAATGTTATTTCAAAGGGACATTTCTGTAGCTAACATAGGCAAATTAACTTTTAAAAATCTAGTTTGGTGGTTTGGGAACATTAATAGACCTCTATAATGAAATAAATATCCAAGAAACAATTCTTATATTTTGGAGTTTAATTAGGGCCAAAGGAAACATTAGAGAACAATGAGTACATGGGATGACATAATAACTGGTACTGGAGTAGGTGATTAGAAGTTTAAGGAAAACCAAACAGAAAGCCTAACATTAGGCTGTCAATCTATGCAGAAAGAGAACTTTTTTTTTTTTTTTTTGACAGGCAGAGTGGACAGTGAGAGAGAGAGACAGAGAGAAAGGTCTTCCTTTTTTGCTGTTGTTTCACCCTCCAATGGCCGCTGCGGCCAGCGTACCGCACTGATCCGAAACCAGGAGCCAGGTGCTTCTCCTGGTCTCCCATGCGGGTGCAGGGCCCAGGTACTTGGGCCATCCTCCACTGTACTCCTGGGCCACAGCAGAGAGCTGGCCTGGAACAGGGGCAACTGGGACAGAATCCAGCGCCCCGACCAGGACTAGAACCCGGTGTACTGGCGCCACAAGGCGGAGGATTAGCCTATTGAGCTACGGAGCTGGCCGAGAACTTTTTTTAAGATTAAGAAATCAGAAAGAAAAGGATCTATGATTACATAGAGGAAAAATGATTACAAGAGGAAAAAACCATGCAGCAAAGTTAAAAAGGCAAGCAAAGATTAAGGAAATATTGACAAAAGTATAATGAAGATATTTTTAATAAGAAAAGTTCCCAAAACAATAAAAGAAGTATTAAAAATAATAGATTAATATCTCAAGCTATTCATTGTGACAGTCCTGAAATCACTTTAAAACTGGAAATAAAACAATCACCTAAGTAAGCAGAATATCTCTTCAGTAGAAAATAATTGTACAGAAAATTAGGTTGCCACAAAAATGCTTCAAATGCTTAATGTACAGTAATAAGTGAAAATACAGAAATCAAATGTATGCATTACTGTATAATAAAGTAAAAGGCTATTAAAAATAAAGAAGGAAGGCAGGTATTTGGCCTAATTGTTAAAATGCCGGTTAGGATGCCTGCATCATACATCAGAATGCTTATGTTCTTGTCTTGGCTCTGTTCTTGATTCCAGCTTCCTGCTAATGTGCACCTTGAGAGGTAGCAGGGGTGACTCAAATAGTTGGTTCCCTGCTAGCCATGGATAGGGTTTTTGGTTCCTGACTTCTGCCTGACCCAGTCCCAGCTGTTATCAACATTTGGGTAATAAACCAGTGAATGGGAGCTCTCTCTGTCTCTCTGCATCTTTCTCTGTTTCTCTGGGTGTTTCTCTTTACCTCTCAAATAAGTAAAGTCATTAAACAAACATAGATGTATTATAAAAATTGTCTAAAGGCAATGAGATACTGTTTTCATTTTACCCCATTTGAAAAAATTTCTTCATATAGTTTTTAAAATTAAAAATAACCTGAGAAATCTTAAAAAATAAGATTTTAAAATTCTTACTCACCAAAAGTAATAAGGAAATGAGGGGTTGGCTACACCACATCCTGTATCAGAGTGCAAGTTCGAGCCCCAGATGCTCCACTTCCAATCCAGTTTCCTGATAGTGCACCTGGGAAATCAGAGGAGATAGCTCAAGTATTTGGGCCTTTGTTATTTGTAAGGGAGACCTGGATGGAATATCAAACTACTGGCACTGGCCTGCCCCAGTCCCAGCTATTGCAGCCATCTCTCTCTCTCTCTCTCACTCTACTTTTCAAATAAATATATAAATAAATAAATATTTCAAAATATAATGGGTAAAGGAAACAATTTTATAATCTTTATTTGTCCTAAAAGTTTTACTATACACGTAAATATAATCCACTTCAAAATCATGTTAAATACCAATTGGAAATGGATGTCTTTATTATGAAAGTATATGTAATTACATTTTAAGGATAGCTATACAAGTTGTTGTGTATGTCTTTAATACTAAGTAGATAATCATTTTGTATTTCATTGGAACTAGCATTCTATGGTATTGTATGATTGGATCATTCTATTTTGATTTTTCCTGTAAGATACTATTGGTATAAAATCTAGCTTATTGCAGGTATCTTTTTTGTCCTTCTTTTTACAAATCAAGCTCACTCCTTTATGAACCAGCTCCCTTTGCAGACCCATCTAATTATGCCCCTGAACAACTGCCAATACCACAGTCTATTTTATGGTTGACTTTCTGTGTTGTGTAACTTCAGCGCCATTCAGCTTTGATGAATAGAATAAAAAAATGGAGTCTTCTGTGTATCATTCAGATCTTCTTCATGTTTCCCATAAGTTGGACATCACTCTGGGTGCTGAGTACTAGGGTACATGGCAGGTTTAGGGCCCAGTAAGTACACCGAGAATTTCTGGAGCACAAATAAATCCAGATACTAAGGGATCCTGGATCAAAATTCTATGAAGGTGAGACAGGGAGAGGCTAAACACAGGATGGAGTTTGGGAGGTAGGATGGAGACTGAATTTGGATTGTGGAGCTGGGAGATGAGGTTACATAGAAATAGTTTTAATCAAAGGAAAGAACATGGGGCTCAAGAGCTCAAGAGGCAGAATAAAAAATGAAAAACCTTTCCTCCTATGTTTATTGATTTCACAGATATTTATTGATTGTTCACTCTAGGCATTCTCTATCCATAACTGGGGATAAGTGGTGACCCTGGAGGGACTGGTCTGAAAGCTTGAACAGGGTTCATGCTTTGAGTGGATAGAAATTTAAATGTTCTACTTTAGGTATGTGTCATGTGCATGCAATTTGGATCTGTTCACATGTGTTATTACTGGGATTTTCTTTTTAAAAACTAATTCATTCATTTATTTTATTTATTTGAAAGGCCGAGACAGACATGAAGAGAGAAAAAGAGAGAAAGAGAGAGAGAGAGAGAAAGAGAAACTCCTGCCTAATGGTTCACTCCTCAAATGCCCACAAAAACCAAGTTTGGGCCAGGCCAAAGCCAGGAGTTGTTCATGTTCATGTCTCCCAGGCAGATGGCAAGGATCCAACTACTTGAGCCATTACCTACTGTTTCCCCAAGTGCGCATTAGCAAGAACCTGGAATTGGGAACACAACGAGGAGTCAAGCCCAGGTACTCCAACATAGGATGCAGGTGTCCCAAATGGCATGTTACCAATGAAATAATCACCCACTCCAACTCTTTCTTTTAAGAAAAGTTAGGACAGAACTAAAAATACCTATCATGGCTTCAGGAATGAAGGAAAAATGTCTGTATGTGAGTGACAACACACACTGTGTACTACTTGGAGATATCTATGATGGGAATCCTTATTTTAGTTATATAATCATTATTTTCTGATAATGTTCAATATACTAGAATTTTCAAATTATTTATATGTACAATATTCAAAATAGCACTTTTCTATTTCTGACTTTCACAGAATTTTGTTCCCTCGTTTTTTAATGAATACTTTCTAGGAAAGTCCTGGTGTCTGTCAAAAGTACTTTGCTGTAGCATCGTTTGCAGTGACATATGTCAAGCAGATAGGGAGGAGGGTGCTGATTCTTGATTTGCAGCATTGATTACATCCGAGCATGGTGAAATAATACCCCAGACACTCCAGACTGAAAAGGGGAACACTTGAAATCCCAGGCCCACTCAGAGAGACCAGTGTAGAGAGGTAAGCTAGATACGTAAATGGATAAAAATGTTGATGTTCCATATTTGGTAGTTTTTTATGACCTCAGGGAAAAGAAATCATGCTACTGTTCTTCTCTTCTGTGACTGTGTGATTTACAAATACTCAGTGCTATAACTCAGAATAATTAAGAGTTATAGTTTCCTCAAATACTGCCCACTTTAACACTTTCACATTCTACCACAGGTCTGTGTGAACTAGTTTGCAAACTTTATCTGTTTCCAGACCAATTTTATTATGCTTCTACCCACGATGACAATGGTGATAGTGACAGCAAGCACAGCCACGTTTGTAGACGCCTTATTTCTCCCATATTAGCCTCTCAGATTTATTCTTCTTGTGACATCCACTGAGAGTCAGGGAAGAGGTAGGGTCAAGGCTTGTAGTTTAGGCATAGTGTGAAAAGTGTAAGAGAAATGAGTTTTTGTTGCTTGATACATATTCTATAAAATTGGAGCTCATCTGTCGTGCCTTTTGGAAAGTAAAAATCACAATTCCACTTAAAAGTACTTTATGAAAATGTTTTAATGAGATGTAATATCACTTGATAATAACACCACTCATATATAACAATAAGAGCCCATATTTTGCTTTTGAACTCTTGCCATTGAACTGGTGCTGTAGAGTATATATGACAGGTACAATCCAATCATCATATTTTACCCCAAGAGAACCAAGATACAGAGATTCCCATGAGTCACTGGGAGCTGAGAAATTATTGAATAGAAATCTCCATGTCTAAGACACCAGGAAGGCACGAGTAAGTCATATTTGAAAAAAAAATTCTCAGTTTTACTTTTGACATTTTTATTGAGTACTGATTTTTCTGTCATGACTCTCATCTTATGTTGACTCAATGCTTATTGAACATGCTTATTGTATTCTAGCCATGTAGAATTTGACCTCTTCCAGTTCCCAGTCAGGCGATGAAGACTGACCCTAGAGAAGCAGATACAAAGGAGAAATGTCGTGTTTTTTGGGGAATGAGAGGGACCCAGGACTGCTATGTAAGGTTGTAGGGGGTGGGGAAGCCTCTCTCAGGGAACTGATGTTTCTTCTGAGACTCAAAGTATGTAAAGGTGTTGGCTAGCTGAGGAGGGGAGAAGGAAGAAATTCACTGAAGGAGGACAGCATGGCCACAATCTGCCACATTTTATAAGGCTAGAGAGTTATAAACTGTAAATATGTTTCCTCCTTGGTGAGGAGAGCTCACTGAAGATTGAACTTGGCTCACTCTCTGCTGTATTGCCCATCCCTGTTGCTTTGGTTCACAAATTGGAAAATAATGATCAACAAATAACCAGGTCATTGTATTTATAATGCTTTTTTTAGTCACATTGGGTCTATATAATGTGTGTCTCTTCAATCCTGGACTGATAGGACATTCTAGTTGCTGCGGGTGTCTGCAAACACTTTTGAAGGAGCAAGGGCTTAGATGGTTGGAAATACCCATAAACCACACTTACTTTTCTTGTAGGAAGGCCCCTTGTGATCTTTTCTACACTACACTTGACTTCCATCCTCCACATGTAAAAGTGATTTAATGGGTCAATACACTTAGACTCTAGAGACTGACCATTTGGTCTACATCAGTAATGTCCCAAAGGAAATACCGTGTACCACTGAACCACAGAGACTCAAACACAAAACATGTTTTCTCAGATATATTTCTCCTCCTTTGTTCTCAAGCATCTGACAAGCAATATTCTCTGCACACTGAGTGCCTTCTGTGTGCAGATTCTGAGTTGTATTAATGTTATCTCTCCTAAAACCTCAAGTAATTCTATAAGCAAGGCATTTTATAGATTAGTAAACTGAAAACTGAGAAGTTAAATAAACAGATTGAGGTCATGCATCTAGGGATGGGGCTGAAAGCTGAGCTGATGCGGTTGACTCTGTAGCTTTGCTACACATCTCCTTCCAGACCCGCCTGTACATTCCTCTGGAAGGAGTTCAGCACGGCTGCTTTCCCAGTTTTCATTTGCCATTTTGGAAATGAGTGTTTAAGATGATCTTCCTTCATTCTCCCACAAAATATCTATGTGGTTATGTGCACATATGCATTTGGGATAATTAGACAAAGATAAGTATCACATAGTCCTCATCTTCAGTGAACTTTCAGAAGATAGGCAAGAGGAGTATAAAAGTAGCTGCAATCATGGTAGATAAAGATACCAGAGAGATACAGATAGGTGCAGGAGAGTGCAGGCAGTGATGAATTCTTCCAGTAGTAGTCTGCCTTTGCTGTCAGTATCACTCGGGTTTTCAGCTGTCTGAGTATACTAATAGTAGAGTGTACAGCTGTACTTGTGAGACAGAAAGCAAGTGGCTTAAGTGCTATGGTGATTTAGCTTACCTTGAAGTGGTTATAACTCTCAGAGCCCCATTGTGGACCTGTGATTCTAAGCTTCCCTTGCCATGCAGAGAGGGTGACTCTTGGAAGGGAACACATCCCCATCATGTGATAGCTATCTTGAGAGCATTCCCAGGAGGTCTCAGGCTTTCTAAGGGCTGGGCAGGGAGTGAGAGCAGAATCAGGATTTAGTTGCCTCATTACACCTTACCATAACGGAGCTTCAGTGGAAATAGGATTAAAGCTGTCCAACTTGAGCAAGGTAATGGGAACATTCTCAGGTTTTTCTATTTGAGATCGATTCTGCTTCTTTGTCTCTCCTTTGTTCTCATTCTTTTTTGTTCTCTCTTTTTCTTTCACAAATGTACAGGTCTACACACACACACTCACACACACACATACTGTGGGTGCTATTGGCCTTGATCTGGGAGGGGGAGAGAGGGAGGGGAGAGGGAGAGGGGGAGGGGAGGGGGAAGAAGAGGGGAGGAGAAGAGGTGGGAGGGGGAGGAGAGAGAAGGAAAGAGAGACCCTCAAAAATTACTCTATCCTATTTGAATGAATCTT